CAAATATATTACGTCCCTCAAAATTCTGTCTGTTAACCTCACCACCAGAGGTTAGACTGACTGACTTGTAGAGTTCCCGGACCATCCCGTTCTCCCTTTTTTTAAAAAGAAATGTAATGGGACAGCGTTAGAAGTACTCTACTTCCCGGATACCTCACCTGTGGCCAGAGAGGATTTGAAATTTACTGCCAGGGGCTTCCCTCAACAGCTTGGGATACATCTGATTTGGGACTGCAGGTTTATCCAATTTCAAGGCTGCTAAACCTGTCAGTACCTCCTCTCTCTATATCTATAATCTCTCTCTCAATATTTCAGTCCCTATTGGAGATACCTGCATTGTCCATTGAGTGTGAAGCTCAATGTAAAGTACTCATTGAGGGCTATGCCCATATTGTCAGGGTATATACACACATTACCGCTATGCTCCCTGATGGGTGCTACTCTCTCCCTACTTTGATCTTGCACTTTACATATTTTGAAAAATTCCTTTGGATTTTCCTTTATTCTAACCACTAATGCTTTCTCCCCTAACTTTCCTAATTTCCCCTTTTAAATCCCACAACTGCACTTTTTATCTTCCTCATGATCCCTTTGCATCTGCTATAAATTTCTTTTTCTCTTAATCTTTAGCTTTAAGTCCTTTGACATCCAAGTTCACCAGTCTTGGTGCCACCCTTTGTCTTTATGGAAACATATTTACTCTATACTTGATCTAGATCTTCTTTGAACACCTCCGACAATTTTACCGGCAAATAGCTGTTCCCAGTCCATTTTGGCCAAATCATATCTTAGCTTATTAAAATTAGTCTTTCCCAGTTTAGAACTTTTATTCTAGCCTATCCTTATCCTCTTTCATAACCATTCTAAATCTAACTGAGTTATGGACATATCTCCAAAATGCTTCTCTACTTCTATGCCTTCCACCTGCCCAGCCTTACATAAACATTTATTTAAATATTAGGTCCACAACTGCTTCCTCCTTTCTTGGGATTTCTACATACTGGCTAAAAAAAATCTCCTGGATGCAATTTAAGAATTTTGCTCCCTTCCTATTTTGTACTCTAAAACACATTCAAAAAGGTTGAATAAGAAGTAGAACAGGGAAGAGCTGAATAAAATAACAGAACAGTTAACCCACCCCTGCCCCATCACTACTGCCTTACACTTCTCTGAAAATTTATCATATATTTGAATGTGGGTCACATATGGTTGAATCTGAAACATTAATACAAATTGGAAATGTTATTTTGTATACATTCTTGGCATAGTTAACGGTAGTTTCTTCAACTGTGATTTAATTGTCAAGAAGGCAGTGTTACAGCTTCTTCACTATGACATGGTTGTTTCTTGCTCACAGTAAGGAACATTTTTGTGTGTGATCTGGTGCTGATTATTTCCAGTGACTTGGAGAACAACTCCACCAAATCAGTGGTGGATCATTATAGAAAGAGCTTGCATTATATTATGTAGCACTTTCACAATCTCAGGGTGTCTCAAAGTACTTCACAGCCAATCAGTCTATCTGAGATGTAATCAATGTTACAACGTAAATGCAACAGCTAACTTTTACAAAGCAAGATCCCTTAAATGTCAATGAGATAATGACCAGATAGTCTATTTGTGGATTATTTGTTGACAGATAACAAGTTGGCCAAGACAATATGGATAACTCTCCTGCACTTTATTAAAATAGTGCCAATGGATTGTTTGTACCCACCCATGGCTTTAGAGGAACGATGGTGCTTCAGTTTAACATCACAATTGAAAACCAACAGCTCTGACACTGCTGCATTCTTTGAGCACAGTACTATAAGTGCCAGCCTAAATGAGTAGGACTTGAGCCCAGGCTTTTCTAATCAGTACCACTGAGCTCCAACATACTCCACCAGACGTAGGTAAATGAAACTTTCACCTCACTTCCCCAAAAACAGAAAAATAATGAGGTATACAATAATAGATTTTTCTGACCTCCAAACTGGGATAGTGCTAGGACTGGGTGTTTGGAGGTAAATCATGATGGTTTACTTTCCAATTATTACTTAGTGCCAATACTAACGGATCCATATGGCACCGCACCTTGCTTGCTGCCTGGTTATAGTTTCAATCAATGTAATCACTGCGGCACACATTCTGCTGCATCCAAGAAGTGAGTATGTGCGAAACTATTCGTATACCCCTTAAACTGGCAGTGGGCCTGCCAGCTTGTACCCTCTCAGCTGCAGGAGACCACTCTACGACTTGCAAAATGATGGCAGCTTTGGAGGATGTACACGAGGAACATCTTAAGTTTCTTTGTGACTTTGGATCTGTGTAAATGTCCATTTAACAACTATTCACTTGTCCTTCCATCAGTATAACATGCCTGCACCCCTGTTCAGCAAATACACAAGATTATACCAACCTTATTCACGTGCACACAACTCTGTCACATGTTTTCCAATGCTAACAGACAAATATCTCTTTGCCCGAGACATATTGACTGCTAATGAGAGGAGCCAAATGCTGTCACCTTGAACATGCACTTCTAGCAAGCACTTTGACCCTGTCGGGCAGTTGCTGGTCAGGGGCTGGATCACACCTACCTTTAGAAGAACTAACAACAGAAGGTGGCAGCAAAGGAAACAGCAACAAAAGTAAGTACATTTACTGAGAGGAGCAAACAAAATTCGAGTTTGCATAGAGCCATACTGTAGATCAGAAGCCCAATCAGTTACCAGTTTCTGTGCCGTTCTTTCTCGTCTCGTCCAAGTCAATGTTCTTCTTTTTCTTCTTCTTCCTTCCATTGCAAAGACTGTGGGTTGATTGTTGATGTCATCATATGGATCCATTTCCCCTTTCTGAATAGCAAATTTATACCAAATGTATTGTTTCAAATAGTTATTCAAGGCACCTGATCCCTCACCAGCCTTCTATCCGGCCCACTTACTCCTCAAGGCAGTGTTGTCACAACGCTGTATCTGCTGGTAGTGCTATCACATTCTGACCCACGGTGTTCTCCTCCTGGGGCTCCACATGCTATCGATGGAGTGACAGCTGAGCCATCGAAAGCTGGCACAATCCTGTCATATTTTCCCTTGCAAGGCAAGCATGGGGAAAATGGGTCCCCTCAACCCTGCTCAACCTGATGGACTTAGTTCTGAAAATGTAAGTGCATCGTGGCTGTGAGTGCTTAAAATCCTTTCTAATTCACTACTGCACTAGAAGGCTTTGTGAAATATCCATGCTGAGTTAAGTAGTTAGGGTGCAGGCTAGTGTACAACTGGCAACAAGATTGATGTAGTTGCAGCTAAAGGATATCCTGGGTCTCAAAGTTGCAGGGAGCAGAGAAAAAACTGAAACCAATAATGAAATAAACAACAGATTGAAATCTCAAATATCTAAGTTGGAAATTGCCAGAAGTGTCAGGGCAGCACGGTGGCTCAGTGGTTAGCACTGTTACCTCACAGTGCCAGGAACCTTTGGGCAACTGTGTGGAGTTTGCACATTCTTCCCGTGTCTGCGTGGGTTTCCTCTGGGTGCTCTGGTTTCCTCCCACAGTCCAAAAATGTGCAGACTAGGTGGATTGGCCATGCTAAATTGCCCGTAGAGTTTCAGGGATATGTAGATTAGGGAAATGGGTCGGTATGGACTTGTTGGGCCGAAGGGCCTGTTTCCACACTGTAGGGATTCTATAAAAAAAATCTAAGAGCATGGAAGCTCAGAAGTGCCATCTTAACCAGGAAGCAGAAACTACACAACCCAGGAAATCCAGTGTTATTATCACTGCATGTTTCTTTTCAGATGTTCGATATTTGATAAAGAATGGACAAAGATTTTCCTGTGGTATTGGATGGTGAATCCCTTTTCAGTTTCCTCCCATTTTTTCCTGTGCATCCATGTTTATTTCATACAATTATTCATTGCCCACCTCCTCCCCATCCATTTCCAAGTCTCACATTTTCTTACCTCTGTGCTTTGCATTCTCTATTTTCCAACCAGAGTTTCAACAGGGTGCATCAACTAATTTCAAACAAGTACCAAACTATTTTTAGCAAAATACTGTGGATGTTGGAAAACTTAAATAAAAGCTGAAAGCATCTGCAGGTCAGGCAGCATCTGAGTTCTGAAGAAGAGTCATACCAGACTTGAAACGTTAACTCTGTTTCACTCTCCACAGGTGCCCCCGGACCACTAAGTGTCTCAAGGACTTTTTGTTTTTGTTACACAATTATTTTATATTTTTACACAAATGCTGCTCTTACTGGGAATTCTCAGGATGATTTTAAACACAAATGCTGCATGAAAACTAAGCACTGGGTAATGCAAGAGGAGTATACATAAAGTTAACAAATTCCACGGCACCGTTCATCGATGGGTTATACACAAAGACCTGAGAATTATTTTTAGCATTTTCCACTAGCATACCAAGATTAGAAAACTACATGCACCATACACAGCATATCTGTAAAAGATACACACACTACCATGTCCTACCAGTTCCTTGATATGTCAACTGTATATAAAGATCAGGGACTATCTATCAGAGTATCTTTAGCCAGCACCTCAGTGAGTTAACAATCTTTCAAGCCCGAGTTTAATCCACAAGATAAAAGTGGCCTTTTTGGACAACTGACTCAAAGATTCCTGGGCGAAAGGGATTGTCCTCTTTTAACTCACTTTCCAATTGATATAAATCAGTGTTCACCTCATAGAGGCCACAATGATGTAGAAAACAGGTATGCCAATAGCAGGAAGGAGTGAAGAGTTTTAATTAACCTGTTCAGATTTGTTATCCTCTGGAGCAGGGGGTACCTGAACCCAGGTGTCCTAGCTCAGAGGAGGAGACACTACCACTGCACCAAAACAGCCTAACTAAAGAGAGGAACACATGAAACTGAAGTATATTAGTTTACTAAAGTTTGTTACAGAGGGCGCTTGGTTTATGAATGCTTGTACTCGCAAACGCAATCACATACAGGGGTGTAATTTTAAAGATCCAACATAACGTTTCCTGTACTTACGAACAGTCATTTTATACTGTCCTGCATAGTGTTCCAACTTGCGTAAAAATTGACTTGAGAACAGACTTCAGAGTAGATCCCGTTTGGAACCCAGGGACTGCCTGTATTCTGTGTCAAATCCCTAGCATTTGTTATGAAGTTGAGCTCATGACAAACCAGAACTAATTGCTGAGCTGTGAGTCAAATGGGTTGAATTCTGGTATGGTGCCAGCAGCTACCAATCATCCAGTCAATTCCAGAGAAGAGGGAACAGCTCAAATTCCCTGGCTGACACCGGACAGACTCTCCAGTTCACACACTGGCCCAAATCCTTCTGTTCACCTCACCCCATGGGTCACTTCCATCACTTTGACCCCAGAGGTTCAAGCTGATGACAGCTCGATAGCGTAGAAGCAGAAAACATATGTCCCCTGGCCAGAGGGGAGTCTAGAACCGGGGAGGGGGGTGGGCATGGTTTCAGAATAAGAGGCGGGTCATTTATGACTGAGATAAAGGGTGGGAGTGTGATTTCTTCAGTTCAGTGACCGATGCATCTTTGGAATTTTCTAGCCCAGATGAAAATACTTAAAGGTAGAGATTGAAAGATTTTCAGGCATAAGACATCAAAGGATATGGGAAAATGGGACAGATCACCCATGATCTTCCGGAGTTGCCCAAGAACCCAAAAGATCTATTCCTGCTCCCTACCTCCATGTTCCTAAGAGGCCCACCTCCACTACCAGCTGATGGGGTGGCCCCATTCTCTCAGATTACCCTGGTCTTGGGGCATTAAAATTGATCCCCTGAATACTGTGACAACAAGGTGCAGAGCTGGATGAACACAGCAGGCCAAGCAGCATCATAGGAGCAGAAAGGCTGACGTTTCGGGTCTAGACCCTTCATCAGAAAAGGGGGAGGGGAAGGGGTTCTGAAATAAATAGGGAGAGAGTGGGAGGCGGATAGAAGATGGATAGGGGAGAGGAAACAAACAGGTCGAAGAGGTGGGGATGGAGCCAGTAAAGGTGAGTGCAGGTGGGGAGTTAGGGAGGGGATCGGTCAGTCCAGGGAGGACGGGATGAGGTTAGTAGGTAGGAGATGGGGGTGCAGCTTGAGGTGGAGGAGGGGATAGGTGGGAGGAAGAACAGGTTAGGGAGGCGGGGACGAGCTGGACTGGTTTTGGGATGCGGTAGGGGGAGGGGAGATTTTGAAGCTTGTGAAATCTCGGGCAACCACCTAGAAACCGATATTCATTTCAAGCCCACCGACTCCCACAGCTACCGAGAATACTCCTCCTCCCACCCACCTTCCTGCAAAAATGCCATCCCCTATTCCCAATTCCTTTGCCTCCGCCGCATCTGCTCCCAGGATGAGGCATTCCACTCCCATACATCTCAGTTGTCCTTGTTTTTCAAGGACCGTAGCTTCCCCCCCGCAGTGGTCGAGAATGCCCTCAACCGTGTCTCCCACATCTCCCGCAACTCATCCCTCACACCCCGTCCACGCAATAAGAACCAAAAAAGAATCCCCCTCGTCCGCACGTACCACCCCACCAAACTCCAGAATCAACGCATCATCCTCCGACACTTCCGCCATCTGCAATCCGACCCCACCACCAAAGACATCTTTCCCTCCCCACCCTTATCTGCTTTCTGGAGGGACCACTCTCTCCATGACTCCTTTGTCCGCTCCACACTCCCCTCCAGCCCTACCACACCCGGCACTTTTCCCTGCAACCGCAGGGAGTGCTACACCTGCCCCTACACCTCCTCCCTCACCCCTATCCCAAGCCCCAAGAAGACTTTCCACATCAAGCAGATGTTTACCTGCACATCTGCCAATGTGGTATACTGCATCCGCTGTACCCGGTGTGGCCTCCTCTACATCGGGGAAACCAAGCGGAGGCTCGGGGACCGCTTTGCAGAACACCTACGCTCGGTTCGCAATAAACAACTGCACCTCCCAGTCTCGAACCATTTCAACTCCCCCTCCCATTCCTCAGACGACATGTCCATCCTGGGCCTCCTGCAGTGCCACAACGATGCCACCCGAAGGTTGCAGGAACAGCAACTCATATTCCGCTTGGGAACCCTGCAGCCCAATGGTATCAATGTGGACTTCACAAGTTTCAAAATCTCCCCTCCCCTACCGCATCCCAAAACCAGTCCAGCTCGTCCCCGCCTCCCTAACCTGTTCTTCCTCCCACCTATCCCCTCCTCCCACCTCAAGCCACACCCCCATCTCCTACCTACTAACCTCATCCCACCCCCTTGACCTGTCCGTCCTCCCTGGACTGATCTATCCCTTCCCTAACTCCCCACCTACACTCACCTTTCCTGGCCCCATCCCCGCCTCTTCGACCTGTTTGTTTCCTCTCCACCTATCCTCTCCTCTGTCCATTTTCTATCCGCCTCCCACTCTCTCCCTATTTATTTCAGAACCCCCTTCCCCTCCCCCTTTTCTGATGAAGGGTCTAGACCCGAATCGTCAGCCTCTCTGCTCCTATGATGCTGCTTGGCCTGCTGTGTTCATCCAGCCCTGCACCTTGTTGTCTCGGATTCTCCAGCATCTGCAGTTCCTACTACCCCAGAATACTGTCACTGACAACTCAGGGAAGATTCAGAGTGACCTTAAAGAAGACTACGTTTTCTCTTCAGTTGCTTTGAATGCTTCAATTAATTAGTTACAATGAAATATATGAGAGATGGGAGGAAAGGGCAGCTGTACTGGCAGTCAATGTTAGTCCAATTGCATAACAAAGGGTTTGTTGCTTTTCAAATTGGCGTGAGAAGCAGTGCCTCAGGGACTAGACCAACGGATGGAGTCTGGGGGCCGAGGCATGTGATGAAACTACCAGGAATATGTTAACCTTAATAATAAAAGCTTGCCTTACCATCAACATCCGCTTCCCAGACAATTAATTTTAAAAACATTAAACTCGATTCAGTCAGATCTGCAGATTTCCAAGCTCCGGTAATGTAATTCAGAAACTGCTGGAACATTAATGTTCAGTGCTGGCCTCATTTTTACCAGCTGTAAAATCAACCACTGAAATGATGTGGAAACATGATTAATGTAGCACACGTCTAGGGAGTTGAGTGACACCACAGTACTTCAGATGTTAGTACTGGTCAAGAAAATGACTGGCAGTAAACATGTCAAATGTAAACTTCAATGCAATGATAACTTTGCAAATTCCAAATCGTACAATTCATTCATGTTGGTCAAAACAGGAAAGATACAGTGAGCTGACATTGTGAAGACAATGCCCTGATAATATGGGCTAGAAATCTGTACAGATCTGATGCCAACGTACCAGCCTGCAGTCAGAGTAATGGAGATTGTTATGAAATATGGACGAGATATGGGCAAAGAGAAAGACAGGATGCAACAAAGGGCAATAGAAAGAGACAATGGAAGGTGGGAAGTGAGAAGAAAAGAAATGCTTGAGATGATACATGTTTTTAACCATGGAATAGATTCCAGACCAGACAGGTCTGTACCTTTAAGACAGTTAGATGATATCACAACATGAGATGTTCTGGGACAAAGAATCCGTTCTTGTCTTCAGTCACTCTCTTTTTGTAATGGAGACAGTGCAGTCAATGTTTTAGAGGCTGAGTCATAAATACTATTCAAGATTGAGACAGATTTTGAGTCAGTAAGGGAATCACAGGGGAAAAAGGCAGGGAAATAGAGATGAGGATTATCAGATCAGCCATGATCTCATTAAGAGGCACAGCATACCCAGTGGGCTGAATAGCCTACTCCTACTCCTATATCTTATGGTCTGTGTGTAATACACAGTAACGTGAGTAAACGCGGAACCCAAACTGCATGTGTAAGTCTATGATATCACTGCCTCGTAAATACAGCAAACTTGGTTATAACCAGCACCTTATCATCTGACATGCTTGATAAACCAGCAAAAATTATGTACCTCGAATACTTTATTTACAGCATAGGTCACGGTATAAAAGTGATGGGAATCCTCTCACATTACATTTCTATTACTCACGGTGTGGTTTTATATTGATTTTAGGAGGTGTGTTGATGTTTTTACATAGATTTTTTGAGGGATGTTGATGCCTCAAAACTTCACTTGGTCAGGGTTACAGCGGTTACGCGTACCCCTGGATTATCTGGAATATTTGATCAACCAGGTCCCATTGGTACCAGTTAATAAAAAGTATGCTGTTGTGTTGTAAATAAACTTTGGCTAGCTGACTCAATGTTACATGGGCTGACATATAGAAAACCACAAACGGCATCAATGTCAATCATTTTCACATCACTACATGGGCTGTAATCTGGCAGAATGAAACCCTTATCCTCGTTGAACCAACTTGAATTATGTGGATGAAAATTGGATGGGTTTCATAAGAGAGGAGCTACTTTGACAGTATCCTGCTCACACAGAATGAGCATTTGGTTTTTAAGAGACATTCTTGCCCGAGTACCAATCACCAGCAAATTTAAAACCATGAGAATCGTATCATAATAATGATAAAACATAGGCTATCAATTTTCAGGATTTCATCGTCTGATTTTAATAACCGTGATTATATATGGACTGAAATGGTTTTATAGAAAAAAATGAAAAAAATCTCTATTAAAAAATGGTCACAGTAACCACCAGACAACATGATGAGCCCAACTGAATGAAACCACAACCATACAAGAACCAGTTAGAGCTGATTTGTTTTTTTAAATTGAAAGGAACTAAACCAGTCAAATGTGAAGAAACCTCCAGCCACTGTATGATTTACACCTTTTTGATAAATTTCACATCTTGGAGATGAACGACATCACCACAAATATCTAGCATGGATACAATGAACCCAGATACAGATAATGGAGGTGGATTTGTAACAAGACCTGCAAAAGGTTCTCTCACTTTTTCTGCTCGCTTTGGAAGAACAAAGCCAAGTCAGACAGCAAATTTGGAAACTGAGAACTCAAAAGGTATTTGTGATATCCATGCTTACTGCTGACCTAGGGCTTCCTTAACTAACCAACCATGGTCTCAGATTCAAATCTAACACTTCAAGAACACTTTAAGGACTTTAAACAGTATATTCTTTATCCTCCATTTTGTGCTGGTCACAACTGCTTTGTAATTTTGAACCTGAATTTGTA